CCTCTACCTGTTAACATGCTACAGTGCAATTTATGCTAAATTTCTACAAAGAACTAAGCAGAAGGCCTGTCCCACAATCAGAGGAAAAGGAACTCCATTATTCAGTTATCTTAGCAAGTTAGCTAATTTGATGTGCTGGTTGATGTGAACATAATTTAAATATATTTTCTAAATGAGCTCTGCTTTTAAGAAAAAATATTGTTTTTCTTCTAAGAGGGTTTGTGCAAGATCATTTTGCTGTTCAAAATTATCTGTATCTTTGATGTATCTGAACTATATCCATAGTACTTTTAAAATAAATCTTATGTGCCTTACTAACTCATTTCTGTAGCTTCAGTAAGTCCTACCAGTTCTGGTAAGAACCATTTTTTATTGCAAAATGAGTTCAAAATACATTATGATCAACACTTTTAAAAATGGTACAGTCATAGTAGTAGTTTGAGATTGCAAAAATGAGCAATCTCAATGAAATATTTGTATTGCACATACTTTTTTGAACATATCGCCTGGATATGAGCAACATTCATTTCTACCAGCTCTGTAATATGCACAATATCTTGTTTATCTTCTAGGTTGAAGATTCAGAGACATACCATGATGAAACTGCAGTGTGTGGGTTGCTTGCTGTGGTTGTAGTATCTCACCTACCCAGAGATGCTGCCATTGAATGGCATGTTGTTGCAGTAGTTGATGATCCACTCAAAAGAAAACATTTTGCAAATAAGGTGTTGTCAGAGGGCTTCCAAATTGAGTGTGAATCTGTGGAGTCTCGTTCTGCATCTTGTGGATCCATCTCTATACGTCTGAGCTTGATTTCACCATCCGCTTCTCAGCTTGATTTAGATGGACCTCTTCAAGACTTAGTTGCTATGTTTAGACAAGCTGTTAATAAACTTTCAGAAGACTGCAGTGCTAGTCCTTTGTCCTTCAGAACTTTCTTCAAGGAGGATGTCTTTGATGCTGAAACACTACAAACAGGTAAGACTTACGATGATGGAAACCAGGTGTTAATACTTAAGTGTAAGGTAATTTTTTGTTTGCCTAAACTTAAGGTTTCATTAGAAGAAGAAATTTTAGAAGTGCCTTTCAAGGATAGGTGGCCAAGAAGGTCAACAGCATTCTGGCTTGTATCAGAAGCAGTGTGGCCAAGGAAGTGTTCATCCACTGTGCTTGGCACTGGTGTGGCTGCACATCAAATACTGCATTCAGTTTTGGGTCCCTCACTGCAAGAAGGACATTGAAGTGCTGGAGCATGTCCACAGAAGGACAACGAAGCTGGTGAAGGGTCTAGAGCATCAGTCCGATGAGGAGCAGCTGAAGGAACTGAAGTTGTTCAGTCTGGAGAAGAGAAGGGTGAGGGGAGACCTTATTGCTCTCTACAGCTACCTGAAAGGAGGTTGTAGCGAGCTGGGGATCGGTCTCTTCTCCCAAATAACAAGTGGTAGGACAGGAAGAAATGGCCTCAAGTTGCACCAAGGGAGGTTTAGATTGGATACTAGGAAAAAATTCTTCATTGAAGGGGTTTTCAGGCATTGGAACAGGCTGCCCAGGGAGGTGGTTGAGTCACCATCCCTGGAATTATTTGAAATGATGTGTAGATGTGGTTCTTGGGGACTTGGTTTATTGCTGGACTTGGCAGGGTTAGGTTAACACTTGAACTTGAAGATCTTAAAGGTCTTTACCAACCTAAACAATTCTATAATTAAGATATGCTTGTCCGTTTTCTGATGACCAGGCATGCTTCTCGTGTAGAAAGGATATATATGGATGTTTTGAAGTGCAAATAGGATAAAGCCCCAGATTACTTGTGATCTCACAGCTCGCCTGACTTTGAGTATAAGGTTAGATTAGATGATCTCACTCCAATCTGAGTTATTCTGTGATTCCATTAAAGAGAATTTGCTGAGAAATCCAGCCACCTCAGGATCATATCTAAGGAGGATGAATCTTTTGCATAAAAGTCTTTGAACAGTTGTTCATAGCCAGGTTTTTGTGATAATGTAGAACTATGCTCAAATAAAATTCTGTCTGCTAGCAGGCACTTTTTTTGAGAATAAATATGAAATAGTAATGTTTTAAAACAAGGAAATGGTGTTCTATTTTTTACATTAGAGGGTGACTGGTTCTGAACACGGGCTGGTTTCTTGCCAACATTAAACAGAACTTGCTAACCAATTTTATTTTTTTTCCTCAATATTTATTGTTTCAAAATCTCATTCCCTTACCAAGTAAAGAGAATCCAAAACAAAAAATACAATGTTGCAGATATAATTTATTTCTTATTATCTATGGTTTGGTCTGTGCTCAATTTGGGACAACTAACATTACACAAGAGCACAAAAGCTTATTTTATCTGTCAGGTCTACAAAACTGTTAGACCATACTTGTATTGAAGACAGTAAGAGGTTTGTTACTGATTTAGAAAGAACAAAATCAGAACCTTAGTCTATATTTATCTCAAACATGCATGCACTTTAAAAATCCTTGCAGACCACAACTGATCCATATTAATTAGCTGACATAAATGTTAGCCCTCAAATACTCTACTGTCCTATTTTTTTATTTTTAACCTGCAGCATTTTTTGAAGAAAATTCAACCTGACATTGTTTAATAGATTTAAAATACAGGAATTGAAAGCTATAAAAATGTGGCATACAATAAGCATATTTAATCCAGGAAGCAAGGAATGAACATATAGTCTGACAGAATGTTGTTGTTTTTACTGCATCTTGTTTAAGAGCTAAAAGAAAACCTGATAAAACATGTTCCTGGCATGGGATTAACATTACCATTTTGCCTGCTCTCTTTCTAGTATTTCTCAGGACATAGAATAATTATATCAAAATAAATTTCATTTGCTTTATTAAATATATTGCTCAATATAATGTATAAATTGTGCACATAAATACACGCTTTAATTTATTTCATATTATGTTACCAACGGCATAGACATAGAAAGATTTGTTGTGATTGTCATATATTCATTCTGGTTGTGTTCAGATCTCTGCACTGTCATAATAATTGCTGTCATTATAGCAATTTTATCATTATCCCCACTGGTAAGAAGTACATTCTTGCAAATCTGTAGAATATATAGAATACATTAAATTTACAAGTAGCACTAATTCATTGATGAAGAATTTAAAAATTACTTTTTCTACTTAGGAAAAATTTCCAGAAAGTTCATATAATGGGAAGAAGAAATACACAATATATTTTAAAATAGTTTATCAAATTTAAATAGTTGCTGAAGTGTGTCTTACTGATAGTTTCAATCTGATACAAAACAATTATATATATATATATATATACACTTTTTCTGATTCAAAATCAGAAGACTAATTTTTAATATATTGTTAAGACAGCGGGACACATTTAAGTGTTCTGCTAATAGGTGTCCTTGGAGCTTTGAAAGACCTAGTCTCCAGTGAAGCCTCCTCAGCTTTCCAAAAGACGCAGCATATGAATGACCTATGTCCTTGACTGTCCTTTGTACTATTATTACAATTATACTTTTCATAATTTAAAATGTACTCACATATATATATATATATATATTAACTCTTAGTTGAATAAGCACTGTATGAGATCTCCAAGATGTTCCCATTCATTTCAGTATCCCCTGGGCAGTGTCCATAATTGTCCATAAACAAGATGACATAGTCTGTATTTCATCTTCTCAGTTATTATTGGCAGTCTTTAGTTATGACTGACAGAACTACTACAAATGTGTTTGTCCTTTAGCCTGCTTCACAGATGTCATATGCCAGAACTAATATCAGGTCTTTCTTGTGAATCTCATGGTTTTATCCTGACTATAACATCAGTGCAAAATGTTAGAGATTAAGTTTTGATGACCACATCTTCTTCCTGTTTCTCATAGTGTATTCCTGTTTTCCTCTTGAGCCTTTAGGTGGTCCTCATGTTTCATCTATAACAGCCCATTAACTTGTCAGCCTTCTTCCTAAAACTCAACTCATAGTCCGAGGAGAAAAAATACTGTGTTTTACATTACCCAGAAGTTCAATTCATTAGCTGAAAAGAATTTTAAACATACTTATAATATATTTAGGCAAGTTCAAATAAGATCGTTCTTTTTATAGAATGCATGAATATGACTGTAGCAAGTCACAAGAGGGAACAGTACTGGCTTACAAAGCAGCACTGCTGTCTTGTCAGCTCTGAGAATGGCAAAAACTTGCTTACACCTGTCTCTGTAGACTTGCCCTAAGATATTTTGAGTATTTGGATGTCTCTGTGGTGATTTCTACTACCTCCAAAGGATACTTTTTGTTGCAGTCTGTGTCGAGGTGGATATCAGAACTTACATGTGCTACTGATCAGATAGTTAGTAAAACTGACTTTGCAACACAGAATAGCATTTTACTAGGATAAAGCAGAAATATACTGACCTTAACTTAAAAAATTGCTGTCCTAATACACAGACTTTTAAAAAATACTGTTTCCTTGTTGTGGCTACCAGAACCCAGGTGGTATTGAGACAGCAGTTTTTCAGTTGCCATTTATTAATCCAGTTCAGGTAGTGCTGGCTGATAACCATCTGTTTGATGATCCGATAGTGACATGTTTGATCTTCAATGTGTTTGACATTGCTAATCCCACAAGTAGGTCTGTCCTTTTGGAGTCTTTGACTACCATCACATGCATTGTCTGCTGAGGAAACACAACATTAATAGCATAGTAGGGGATGCTAGACACTGCTATTAAAATATTTTTAATGTGAAACACATGAGTATCTATAACAGAAAATATAGAAATTAGTCTGTCTCAGAATCAAGATGGTTATGGAGATAACTGCTCCAGTCTTAGTGGATTTCAGGTGGACTTCCATCATGTCCTAAGATTAACTAAGACTATTCAGTAATTCTTGTAAGATTATGTATTGCAATGTATTGTCTCCTCTAGCAAAAGCATGGAAAAGAAATATATTTTTTTTATAATTTTTTTTTTCTGATTAGAACTTAAAATGGTTGGAGTGAAAGAAGGAAATATTGCCACAGATCTTCTCAGATGATCGTCTGTTTAGATGAGTGCTTTTTTGATGCAAAGAAATTGTTGTTAATTTAAAACTGTCCAAATAAATTAGAGATTTTTTTTTGTAACTAACACAGTAAGATGAGAACCAAGAATATGTATACATTGCATATTGTAACAGATTATTGGTAATTATTATAGCCAGTGTTACTGATGTCAAAAGAAGCTAAAGGTTTGTAATGCAAATTTGAGACAGATAGCTTTCTGTCTTCCTAAAACCAGATATAAAGTTTTATTGAACAAAGTGTAATACTGATGGTGAACTTCTTAGAAGCAATCCCTCATAACATACGAGAGCATTATGGGCACCGTGCTGAGACCACAGAACGCGTTAGAAGTAGTAGGATTAGATTAAGCTGACATATATACTTAGTAAGATGTTGTTAAGCCTTTAGAAGTCTTTAACATAAATTTGACTATTTCTTATTCTCATTTAAATGTGCATTAATATAAATGTGTCAGGACAATTTGCTATACCATCCAGCTGACTAGATTATACTTCTGTATAGGAGAGATGAATGTTCATAAGTCATCCCATTATGATTTTGCAAGCCTTGTTCACAGGATGTATGCAAAATATTTTTGAATATTTATTAGAGAGTAGAAAAGGTCTTGCATTCACCAGAACATCACATTACATAATCCCTTTTTAATAGTACAGAAAAAATAAAGTGAGAATATAAAAAGGCAAAAGAGAACAGGAATAGAAAGTCAGTCTCATAGCAGCATTAAAATGAATATATAATTAGTTTTAAATGTGGCTGTACTCTGTAAATGCTTATGACTAAAAGGCTCTTAATAGTTTATTATGTTTCAATGATGCTTTAAAAAAAAAATTAAAAATCTAATATGAGTCAAGTATCATTCAACTGGACTATAGAAAATCTTACTTGAAATAGAACTTTTTCTTCCATTGAAAGAG